AACAAAAAATTAGTTACTGTTTAGAATATGTCTTCTACAACATAGTTTATAAGGGGAACAGATGCCTTATTTACCAAGGTCCCTGGAACCACCTACAGCAACACATTTCTAATAGAACCACCTATGTTTTATAAGAAAAAATGTTCCTCCTTCTTAAACCTGATTAGCAGGTATTTAGTGGCTTTTTCTTTGACATGTTCTCTAGCTGCTCACAAATCTACCTTTCATTCTACACCTATGATAAAGAAAGTATGGTTTCCCATTCTGTGCTGCAAACATGCAAAGGACAGCTTCAGAAATCAGACTGGACTTGGGTAGCTCTCAAAAGCTCCCAGTAAACTTTTTGTTATCTACTTCCTTAATGTATTATTAGCATATATAATTCATTACCTTATTTATCCAGAGGACGTAGTATTTTAGATAATTTTTATTCTAAAAATATGCTCGTATTATTAATACAGTATCACTTCCTTCCTTTCCTCTATTTGCTTACTTAATAATTTACCTCATTTTGTGCCAAACCCCCAAATCATTTGTGAGGGTGTGGTGCAAAGCAGTGCCAAATCCTACAACAGTTGTGTCCAGACACAGGCGTGCTGGAGTTCTAATGTCAATGTTGCCTTTATGTGCCACTCTTTATAATAACAACAGTATAACTATGTTCCTTTTTGGAAATGTTACTCTTCATAAATTGTATATTGCTGCTCTGGCAAGGTTAGTGTGACCCTCCTGTGTTTGAATTATGATATGGATGGGTTTACATCTCTGTTTACTAATTACTTTGAATTATAAATGTTATTATTCATTAAAAATGCAGGAGACTGCTAGTAGCCTGCATCAGTATACACATGAACTAAAAATCCCAATGGGGGTCCATAAATTACCATGAAGCCTTGAGTTAGACCTCACTATTCCTGTCCTGTACCCATTTGTTATAAACTTCCCTCTGCCTTCTGTTTCTGTGCCTTTGAAATTTTTACTGAGAAATCTGTAAGCTACACTTTGGATATGGATTATAATTGGCTAATAAGATGCAATGCAATCACGATGTAATCCTCCCCTACTGCCTCCCCATCACCATTTCCCTCTCCCAGTTAATAAATTAAAAGCTCAGGGCACTAATTTTGATGGAGGGTCAATGTAGATTTTGGCACATTTGCAGTAAAATAGAGATTTAGAACTAAGAGGAACAAATTATCATTAAGTATACCCCAAATAATGAATAAAATGTCTTTATTAGCTAGTGTTCTATCTGTAAAATAATAAAGCCAAAGAGAACATGTAAATGATGTAGCCAAGCAGGAGGGCTGCTGAAGATAAGATTAACAGAAATCTAACACGAGTAAGGAACAAAAAAACCCCAAACAAACAAGATTATCACATATTTCCAGAAACCAATAAGAAACAGTGTGCAGGGAAGGTCTGTGGACACTGCCATTGACTGCATTTGATGTTTTTCATTAAGGCAGCAGATAGAGTTACTCAGCCATGCTGAGTTATTGGTGACAATTTACTTGATGCTCACTTCACAGACTAGCTCATTAACTTACAATGAGGTAGTGCATTAAAACAAAACATAACTCAAAACAAAAATCGAAATCTCATGAATGAAACTGTCATGAGCTTCCACTGCATTTGCACCTACTTGCAAACAGGGTCCCTTATCTGTTTCATGCTTTCACAGTATCTCCCTCCCAGGGCTTTCTCCATATGTTATTTCACGTGCTCAAGAACTGTACACAACTGGAATAATTTGTGCTGAGGGTTTTGGGGGGTGTTAATTGTTTCAGAGCAGTTTTACCTCCCATTAGCAGACTTTCTGCATTCTTGGCAAAGTGATTATCTTTAAAAAGACTCTTAGAAGAACATGTTGCTGAGTAACTTTTAACACTTCACACTAAGTGATTCAGGGGACTGGTTCTCCTTACCTGCAAGAGAGAGCTCCTAGGCTTGTCCTTGTGCTTTTTAACTGTGTATCTTTTCTTGCCCAGGTGATTGCTCCATATTGTGTAGTTTTCACACATCTGTGTGTAAGCAAGAGTAGAGATAAGAAGCATTAAAATAAATATTTGAGCAAATACAGGCTCCTGGCTGAGCCAAGCAGTGGATTATTTTGCATGTCCTTCATCTGCAAAGGTACATGAACAAAGAATAACTACCAGTAATAATACATCATAGTTGCTGCCATGGAAAGTTTTCTGACTAGAGACAGATCCAACTGCTACTGCTGGTTATTTGCCCTGCTGTCACCCAAGAAATGGGATTTTAAAATGTAAACAGGTTATGATCTTTACTTCAACCAAAGTCTCTATGAAGATAAGACTTGAAGGCAACTACTGACCACAAGAGGAAGGTAGGATTCTTTTAAGGTACTGCATGGTATTTTTGACAGTCTTAATATAATTTATTAATTGACTGAACATGATGATACAGAAGCATCTGTAAACTCACATTTTAGAAATGCTTAATTTAAACCAAGACCTTAAAATCTGTCAAGCTTACCTCGACAAATCTAATTATATCACAGAGAAGTGTTGTGCAATGTACTGTCAACATCAGATACTTTACACATCAGTCCTGTAGACTGGAAGCAAAGAGAACTGAGAAAACAATAGTCCTGTATTGTGTGTATGTACTGTTACAGTAAATCACAAAATTCAAATTACAAAATTCCAAAACATGTAGTGAAAGTTATTTTGGTTCTTAACATTCCACACCAAATGTAATTTCTGTTTAAGTATAAATATAATGAAAAATATTCATATTGGTATGAAGCTATTTAATCCCTTAAAAGATCCCGTGGGAAGTGAAACCCTTGAAGCAGCAGCACAGTTTAATTTTGATATTAAAAAATCAACAAGTCTCATCAGCTAGAAATTTCCATGTTGTCTGTGCAAACCCACGCTTTAAGGATGCACCTGCTGGACTTCCTAAAATTCCAGTAGCTCCTACTTTAAATGAACTACCTCAGTGCAATCCATGCGTGGGCGTAAAGACTGTCAGGAAGGACCTGACCACCCTTGCATTTCTCCACATTGTTGCAATTCTTCTGCCTTCCCAACATCAAACTCACACACTTCTGCTGCTGTTGCAGCCAGGACTCCTCTGACAAGAAGATTTCAGCCCAGTTATGTTTAAATATCACAGCAACTGTGCCAAGTTGCCAGATGGGAAGTATAGCACAATCGTTTTTTTCCCAAATATTTGCTCAGAGTTGTTTCATATACAAACTAGGTGGGAGCTGTAGCTTACACCCAGGTCCTGCAGTACAACATATTTCTTTCCTCCGTTTCTGTTACCAGTTCTTAGGCACTGGATCTTTGATTTTTTAATATGTATTTCCTGGGGTTTGGCTACCTTGGAACAACTTTATACAAGTAATGTGATAAAATCACCATGTCATCTTGTCACCAAATAAGAATACTTTTAAATAGAGATACATACTTTCAAGCTTTATTTTCATGCAATGCTCCAATGCTTTGAAAGTCGGATTTCTCCCTAAGCAGTTACATTGCCTCTTAACACACAACATGCACCCCCTCTCCTCACAGTTTTTGAAAGTAGGAATAAGATATGCAAACAATTGAAGTTCACACATCAATGGTTTCCCCACATGAAACTCTGCACCCCTATGAGTGAAGGAACCCGGAGAGAGGATGCCAAACAAGTCGCTCCATGCTCTGAAATCCTCTGTGGGACATAGGCCATCAGACCTGCTGTGTGGCTTTTGATTTTGTGTAAAAGTTCCTTCAATTTCCACACATCAAAAAACATATGAATGCAATCAAGCAAGCCTGCCAGCTCCCTTTCAACACCCCCAACTTTGCATACAATTCTGTGTTCAAGCCATGTTTACTGAAACAATCAATTACAATACAATGGAAGTAGTCACTGAAACGAAATGGAACACTCAGGCTGACCCTCCATTCAGCAAATGCAAGGCAGGATCCATGGCAACACACTCCTTGAAATCATCTAGCCCAATTGCTGCAAGATGTGGAATATATAAAAATTTTCTTAAGAAAGAATATACTCTGGTGTTTTGATCTTTTATCTACTTTCAAGCCTTACCAGCGAGAGGGGAGATTTAACTCATGAAAGAGAGAGCACCCAACAAGCTCTAGGTGACATCCAGGTGTTAGGAAAACAAATTACTTTTCGGTAAAATTGTCTTAAGGTTTGGGGCTGGACAGGCTTCAATGTTGTCAGATCCAGGGGAGGTTTACAAAGCTTGGGAAGAAGGATGTACCACTGTGGTGTCCCATAGTGTGCACCAAAAATGCAGAGTTTAGGGGCACAAGGACATCTGGCAGAACTGCCAAGACAAGGCAGAAACAAATGAAGACAAATCTGTAATTGTGCTCCAGCAGGGTAACAGGTGATTCCGGCAGGGACCGATCCCGAGCAACCCACAGAGCACCGACCCCAAAAACCCACAAAAGAGAGACTGAGCGCGGGATTAATTAGCATGAGAAGAGAAAGAATAATTAAAATACTGATTCATGAGAGAACTGTGTAACTTGTAGCCAATAAACACTAACTCCTTTGTCTGCTAAAATGTATAAATAATAAAAATCCTGATAGTTTGGGCACTTGATCTGTGGATTATCAGAGGGTTGTGTGACTCTGGAACAGACACCCGATGTTTCTCCTGAGTGTGTCATTTCTGGCTTGCTGCACACCGGGCGATCGATCCGGCCTGCGGGCAGCGCTGCCCTGCCCGGCGCGGCGGGGCTGGAGGCAGCAGGACCGCCCGAGGCCGACACCTGGCACTGCGAAAGGGAAAGGCAAGCCTCTTCCCGGGCGGCACTTCCGCCGCCATCCCGCCATCACTTCCAGGTCGGGAGCTGGCTTCCGGCGGGATGCGGGGGGCGGCCGGGCCCCGCTCGGTGCCCGCCGTGCTCTGAGGGGCGGCGGCGGCCCGGCCGCGAGGGGGCGGCAGCGGCGGGGCGGGAGCAGCGCCCGGGCCGCGCCGGGTTCGGGCCCCGCCGGAGCGGGACCGCCGCCCGCGGAAGATGTGGGCGCACGTCTGGGGGTTCCTGTACAGCAACTACTTTCGGTTCTGGCTGAAGTGGATCCTGCGGCTGCTGACGGGCAAGTGCGAGCTGCAGCGCCTCCTGGGCGGCGCGGAGGCGGGAGCGCGGCGGACGCTGAGCGTAGGTAATGGAAGGGCCGCGGCACGGGCCGCCACATTGGCGTGTGGGGAGAGCAGTCGCAGGATCCCGTAGCGTGGAAAACACCTCGGTGACCGTGATCGATTGCAGCACTGCCAAACCCACCGCTAAACCGTGTCTCCCGGCGCCACATCCACGTGTCTTTTAAATCTCGCCGGGAGTGGTGGTGCTGCCCTGGGCAGCCTGATCAGTGCTTGACAGCCCTTTCGGTGATGACATTTTCCCTCTTGTCCAACCCAAACCTTCCCTGAGGACGTTTCCTCTGCTGTCAGTGGTTTCCTGGCAGGAGGGATCCACCCCCTCCTATCCACAGACTCTTTTCCTGTGGTTACCGGGAGCGATCAAATCCCCTGTGAGCTTCCTGCTTTCCATCACCTGGTGTGCATCTCCAGAGTTGCAGTTGCACTCTTCCTTTCATCCCAGCTGTCCTGGGAGAATTCTAAATCAATGCCAGAGTTGCTTCCTTGTCTGCTTCCTAAGGAAATTCCAGTGTCATCAAGAAGGGAATCAGAAAACATACCCTTACCCCTAGAGTCTTCCCATCACTTTGTGTATATGCTTTTACTTTCCTTTACTAAAAAAAAAAAAAAAAAAAATCACACTGAAGAGACACAAATGCATTTTTTGGAGGCGAGGAGGAAGCGTGATTTAACTTAGAATTCTGCTTGATGCGGAATTTTGATCTAAAAGAGCAATTCGAGAAACTAGTGAACATTTTTGTGGTTTTACAATAACTTGCGGAAGTGGCCGTACTTCCTTTTTCTTCGGTAATAGACATGAAATAACGTCTGAGAACAGGAAAATAACAATTGATATTTCCAATTTATCGATTGGTATTTCTCTTCTGACACCTTTTCAAATTTGTCTTTGTTTTGAACCTGTAATTGATGCTTTAAAAAAATCCGAATCTACTTTCAGCATTGTACTGAAGAGTTATAAAAGTACTGTGTAAATTAAGACATTCTATTCCCTGATAACCTGTTCATTTTAAGATTGATTTATTTATTACATGTATAAAAGCAATGTAAAATTTTATAATACTTATATACTGCAGGAACATTTACTGTCAATTATTTAAAACAGTTCAGTATAACTGTGAAATCTGCTTTTTTTTTCCATATTGCAGAACATTCACTGGAATCATCAAAAAATAAGGTAAGAGATATTAGAGATGAAACTGTAATAAAACCTTTTTTCAGAGTCAGATCCCAGAAAAATAACACACACTTTTACTTTCTGAGAGGGGAGAACTGAAGAGGAGTAAAGGACAGAAAGAAGAAAACCTGGAAGTTTGTGTTCTGTGTGCTAGGTTTATTTAAGGTTTCTCAAAAATAATCCCATGTCCCTACAAATGTTTGTTTCATTGAAATGTCAGCTCTGTTAGCTACCTGTCTCCTAATTCTGAAGCATTATTTTCTTGGCTGCGCTTGTTTCAGTTGGATTAGGAAAAACATATTTCAATTCTGCAGCTGAAAGCAAAAAAGGACCTAGACCAAGCAACCCTCCAGCTTTGTATTTATTCTTTATGTAACTCCTATATAAACGTTGTTTACAGCCTGAAAAAATTACAAATCATGCTGTCATGTAATTATTGCAGATCTTTTATACGCAGTTTGAGCCAGTGCATTGTAAGCAATTGTCTTAAACTGACCCTTTTCCTTTTATAATAAATAATTCACACAACAGATATACAGAAGCTGAGCAATAATAATTAAAAAAATAATAAAGTAGATTATGTCTTCATTCTTCATGAAGTCATTTACTGTGTTAACTCCCTAGGTTTTAAGAAACGCTGTACATGTTGAAGAAGCTGAAGTGGAGAAGTGTGTCAGAGATGTAATGAAAGAAAAGAAGATTGAACAGAAGGATACAGGGTGTGTTTGGAAACCTCTCTCTCATCTCACTTGTTTGCATGTTCTTCCAGTTGCTTGACCTGATGCAATATTTAGGCCATTTAACACAAGTATTCAGTATGAAATCTGAAAATAAGGTGTGGCTATGCCCTCATCAGTTCTAGAAAATAAATTGCAAAGTTTTAATTCATGTGCATTTGGCATTACTGTATCTCTGTTTTGCAAGTCCCGTTTGTTACTCCATATTTCTAACTGGTATGATCATTGATTGATCATATTGGTTAGATCTATGATCAATAGATTGATTACAAGAACTATATAATTCCTTAGATAGATTTGAGAGAATATACTGATGCTTGATTAATGTTTGCATTCGTCTGCATAAGTAATTAGTGAGTGACAGAGAATAATCAAAATTTCAAAGTCTAATGAAATACTTCTTTGAAACTATTAGTATTTCTGACAGAGTACGACTGTAAGACTTATAAAAAAATTGAGGGTAGATGAATTACAGTGGTCAGGATGATGATATATGGAGTTTTCTTCTGTCATAACAGATTTTAGCTCTTTTATTTTTTTTTTCCTCGATAATTTAAGGCAATAGAGTCTGACTGCAGCACTGGAATCAGCTAGAGATGTTTAAAGTGTGTAAGATCCATGTAGCAGTGCACTTAACCAGTATGCTGTAGTTTGTAAAGATACACATAAAGCACTTCCTAATTCTGGTGTTTACATAGCATTAACATAAGAAAGGTCTGATCTGGTAATTCAAGCTAGAATTTATGGCTGAGTAGGCCTATTTAAAAACTTCTCTATGGTGTCTTGTTGTTATTTCAGGTTTAAGACAAATTTGCATATATCCTTGCTACAGATATCAGGTTATAAAAAACTGTATTTGAATGTGGAAAACCTAAGGAAGGTCCCGTATGATTCAGAAAATGAAGAACACGAGGAACAGTTAATTGAGGTGAAATAATTTTTAAAATACATGTGCTGTTTGTTTGCTTTTTTTCCCCTCCAAGTCCAACACCTTGAAAGAACTTATTGGTAGCCTTCTTACCAGCTGGTCTATTTAAACATCTTTTCTACTTACAAACTGCAGAGCCATTGTAGAAATGACACCTTAAAATAAAACCTCAAAGAAAAACAAGGTAAACTAGAGTTACTTGCAATGGAATTATTTTGTGCAAAATCAGACGTAACAACAATATATAAGTAGAAAAACAGATCTGTAATACATCACTGAAGAATTACTACTAAAAACTTATATAACCTTATGCACACGTCTAACTTTGCAAACCACTAATTACTAAATAATAATAAAAAAAAGGACACTTTTTTTTCTTATTATCGCTCCCAGTCAACATAGAGGAAGATAGTTTGACGCTGGAAGATAAAAACTATTTTCTTAGCACTTCATAATTATCTCAGCTTGCTATGGAAGCCCCAACACTGCCATGTTAAATGAGTATTCTTTGAGAATTTGTATTTCAGTTTATAGCTGTCCTGTTACAAAATGATGCATAAATTAATTTCTGAGGTGAAACAAGTCTTTGTTTCTTTGGTGTTCATACAGCATCTTTGTCTGTGAAGGACAATGTGAATGAATACATTTAATGTTAAATGTAATAACTTTCATAATTGCTGAAATGAGCCCTTGTAGCAGACTCCAAATTGCCACTGACAGAAAAGAGCAGCATGCAGATTGTTTCCTGTTCCTTGGTAAAGGGTTTCTAATGTGCAGCAGCAAGTGTTCTGAATTATTGAGCAGCATAACATGGAAGTGTATTTGTGCAGCTCTGGAATTTGCTGATGCCTCACGAGAATCTGAAGGCCAGAATCAGCAAACAGTGGTGTGACATCGGCTTCCAAGGCGATGATCCTAAAACAGACTTCAGAGGAATGGGGCTGCTGGGCTTAGTGAACCTGGTGTAAGTGAAAAGAAGTATTTCATTCTTTTTGTGACTGATTTTCAGTATCTGTATTTCCTCTAGTTAATGCTATTTCTAATAAAAACTGCTTAGAAGCAAATAGAAAGCAGGATGTTCAACATTTCTAGCGGCTGCTCATTGTAAACATGTGATGTGGTTGGCTAAGGACAAGAAATGAGGGAAGGGACAGAAATTTGCCCAATTTCTTAACTTTTTTTTTGTTGCCTTATGATAGAGCTGATAGGTTGTACCTAACTTGTCAAAAGCTTTAAAAATTCCTGAATGTAAAAATTCCTACTGTGATGAAAAATAGACAAGTTTACATATCTTTGCTAAGCTAACTTTTGGACTAGGTTGAACTTCATATTTGTTGTTCAGATCACAATGATGAATTTTTTTACAATATTAGTTCATGCTGAATATAATTTATTTTGCTACTTTTTTCTTGGTTTTCATCTTGTGCCTTTTTCCAGTTGCAGGCTAGTTTTCACCTTTAGTTTAAAGCTACAGATTTTAATGTTGACATCAACACAGTATTTTTTTTTTCAAAGAATTTAAAATAGTATTTTTCACTGCCAGGTATTTTAGTAAGCATTACACCAATGAAGCTCGTCAGATCCTTTCTCGGTCAAATCACCCAAAGCTGGGGTAAGTCACTCCAGAATTTTTTCTGGCTGCTTCTATATTAAAACTTATGTGAAGACTGCTAAACGTGTCCAGAAAGTAAAGAGGAAAATATGTGTAGGCTTTTTCCATTAAATAATGAAAAAAAGGGTTAAAATAGAAAGGTGTGAGAAACCAAACGCAGAAAACAAATTCTAGCTGGGAACTAAGTGCAGGGTTTTTTTTCAAAATACCATCCTCATTTAACACAGTAAGCACCTTTAACGTTGTAGTTAGTTGTATTTGTAATAGATTAGATTTAGAAATTCATACTTATTTTTCACCTTACTGATCCTGTGTTGGGATAGTGTAGATTACCTCTTAAGGTCCTTTAAAAATAGGTGTTTTGTTGCTGTTCAGCTTTAAATTTCTTTTCGAAAACTTTGCATATTTAAATATTTAGCTAATTTTACAGGGACATACACTCTCAAACCAGTCAGATATAATAATCTGATCCATCTTGCCCCTAGTTAACTTGATGACCTATCAAAAAACAGGAGCCCTTCATGACTTTAATTGTAAAAAATACTACCCTGTGCAACGCTGTCATGAGCAGGATATGTGAGACTTACTGCTCGATTACATAAGTATATAATTGGCACAAATTAATTAATTTTTACTTTTCCTTCCTCCACAAACACTTTGTTGTTTTTAAGAATTTCTATTATAATGCTTTTTATACCAAGCAACAGAAAACCAGATTCTTTCAACTTGAACAACAGGTTGAAATAGCCCTTCCATTTACACTGGAACAATGTTTTTCACATCCAGTTTTTAATATTCCAGCAGATTTAAGGATTTCAAGTGAACAAATTAAAATCAGTGTCGATTAGCTTTGCCATCTGAATTATACAATAACTTTTAGATGGTTGGATGCACCAGGGAATGGTCTGGGTATTGGAATCAGCTCATCAACAAGTATTACAGGAAAAATTCTGACTATCACAGCTCTCCTAAAGCAGAGTATGCCAGGGAAGCTTTTAAGTCTTTCAGTCCATAACATAAAACCATGATTTGTGTTGCAGATACTCCTATGCCATAGTTGGGATCAATCTGACAGAGATGGCATACAGCTTGCTAAAGAATGGTGCTTTAAAGGCTCATCTCTACAACATGGTCTCTGGGTTGCCACAGATGGAGCACTTCCATCAGTTTTACTGTAAGTATCTCTATTTTCTCTAGTACAGACTACTCAGGGTAAGCCACAATGTAGAGTTTGGGCTCTTGGGAGTGCATTTCCACTCTTTCCTCATTAGCCAGAGCAAGCTGTTTGTCTTCTGCATCAGGTATTGGAAATGCACCTGCTGCTTAAACATTGTGCTGCAGAAATGTACATTTAAGGATAATTTCTGTGGCTTTATATATTTTAGATACTCCAGTCTGAAAACTCAGTATTTGCAGATTTCTTTTTGTATTCATTATTAGAGCATTCTAAAGCTTGCTGTAGATCAGGATGGGACAGTCCTAGTTTTAAAGGGTTGAAGAGAGTCTAAAGGATCACTCTAGGATTGGCTAGATCAAGGCATGAAATTGTGGAGGTCATTTTTGCAGATCTGTGTTTTATTTTCTCCACAGGTTATCTAGTTTATGAGTTTGACAAGTTCTGGTTTGAAGAGGAACCAGAAAGCATTATGCACTTCAACCAGTACAGAGAGAAATTCCATGAAAAAATTAAGGGACTTCTACTGGATTACAGTGTGGTACTGACCTTACAAGATACAAAGAAACCTTAATTCCTCTGCAGTATATGAGGTTCTGTATGAAAAATTGGGTGATGCATTTGGACAGAAGTTTTGTGTGTTTCACCATAAACTGTCTAATAATAGAACTTTTTTTTTTAACATTAAAGAAAAGAAAATTAGCAAAATTCAGTTAAGAAAGCTTGGACAATCAACCTCTGTTTACAGGTATTTTTATGCTATTCTCCAAAGGGCAGCTTTTTCAAAAGGAACAAAACCCAACCAACAAACCAACAAAAAAAACCAACTCACAAATCTCAAGAACATCTGAATTGCTTACTTTTGCATTTTCTTTTATACTTCTTGTTGCAGGAATGTGAAGCAGGTATTTTTACTGCATCATATTTTCTATGGATGGGTTTGACTGTTAATGGTCTTTTAAAAGACAGTTTAAGTTCAGCTTTTCCAATCTGAATTTAAATTCCAACCTTTTAACGTAACAGTTGGAGTTCAGCTTTTAGTTGAAATTATTGTGGTTTTTGATTTTTTGTGTTCTTGTTCCTTTATGCGTCATTGATTGTTCACTCAACAATGTTAAATTTCTTAGTAATTAAGATGTCCTCAAAGGAGACGTATTATTTGTTTATAATTTTGGAGAAGAGGCTTAATCCATCAGCATATTTATGTACTTACTAGAAATTACTTCTGGATAAGGAAATTTATAGATAAATTTGTACCAGCCAATTCTTATGCTTGGAAGAAGTTTATTTTGCAAACAAACAAAAAGAACCACGTGTCATCAGCATGAGGATAAGATCCTCAGGCTAAATCTACTCTTTCTAAAAGTATTCCTATTGTAAAAACTTTTGATTCTTTCTAATCTGACTTCAAATGCTGAGGGTGATGGACTCAGAATTTGTTGCCAGCCCTTTCTTTTAGCAGCTAAGGGGGTATTCTTAGTGGGAGGTACAACAGATCTACTTTAGCCCTTTCATAAAGTTTTAAAAAAATCCTTTATTGCAGCTGCAATCCTTATTTTGTAAAAATAAATTCACATTTGGGTACAAATCTAAAAAAGATGTATTTTCCATGGAAGAGATGCAACTTGGATGTGTTCATTAGTCTTGCCATCCTCAGACAATCTAATAGACAGAACTTCATGTCTGTATTGTGACTGATTATTGCTTAGAGCAACTTTAAATGGGTTTGGTATGACCATCACTTTGTTTTCTAAGACCTTCTATTAAATAAGTGCCTTCTGCTGTTTTCAATCAGCTTTTTATTTTGCTTCTTCTAGCTAGATCAGAGTCTTAGAAACTTGAGTAATTTGAGAAAGATTTTTTCACCATATACCTAAATAGCTCACAGTGGCACAACATTTGTATGCTGATACAAGCTTTCATATATTTTTTTTAATCACCTCAGGTAAACTAGTTAATTTCTAGTCAATGACTACTCCAGAACAGATTCCTGAAGAATATAAGCATTGAATACAATGAATGGAAGCATGAGGGGGAAAAAAAAAGGAAAAAAAAAAAGACAACCCCCTTTTTGTAATGAGTGTTAATTACACTATGTAAGTATGAAATATAATACATAATACTGCATTTCCTGGAGATCATCAAAACCCACCTGGACATGGGCCTAAGCAGCCTCCTTTGAGGGACCCTGCTTTTAGGCAGGGGATTGGACTTGGTGATCCCCAGAGGTGCCTTCCCTCCCCAGTAACTCTGGGAGTCTGTATTGTGTAAGTAGTGACTTGTTGCACTGCATCCACCCTTGTGCTCTTGATCCCTTAAATGCTGGGGATCTCTTGCTTGTGGGGAAGCTCCTGATCAGGGTACACAGTGCACGTATATGGGGTAACAGTTCTCTTTTCTTCTTGTGATACCTTAGGTACAGACAAGAGTCAGATAAGTTGAATGCTTTCAGGGTGGGGAAGGGTTCAGTCTGTGTTGGGTTGATGCTGTTCTACCAATATAAAAACCAAACACCCCCAAAACAACAACAAAAACCCAACACCATGAAGATGCACATAGGGAGAGTATTTATGGCTTGCAAACTGGAGAGCTGAACTGACCAATTAGATCCAAACTGACAATGGGAGGCCCAGGTCTTTTGCTACTGCCCTGTACATGGATCCTGGAATACTCACCAATGAAGACCTGAGATCTTGTGGAGAGCATTCTGGGATTCAGGTCCTGTGGTGGAGCTCTGTTTCTCTGAGCTTTGCAGACCCTGGGCATGCCAAAAATCCAAGGAAGGAAGTGGAAAGTGGACTCCTTCCCAGTGGCCCAAGTGCTTACTTTCTAGCTCCATTCTTCTGGAGCAAAGGATCTCCTTTGCTGCTGCTGCCAAACATAATTGGTGTCACTTCTGGAATTCAAAAAGTCAGTTGCTTGCTGCTTGCAAAGGAGATCCTATTGGTTTTCATCTACTGCCTGCCAGCAAGTTACAAAATTGCTTGAGCCATCTCTAGAGGTTCCCCTGAGCTAAGTCTGATTTTTTTTTTTTTTTTTTTTGCAACAGTTGCAAACATAATCTACACTCTTGTCTTTCCAGCACTGAAACTTTCACTGGGCTACTTGTTCAGCAGTCAACTGACATTTAACTATTGCTGAGGCTTCTAAAGCCCAACCACAGTCTCAGGGTTCCTGTCACACACCTGAGAGGTTTTAGTGTCAAATGTAGTTCAAGCTTTTAATAAGATGCATCTTTGCTAGTTTTTTTTCTTTTTAAATCAGTGGGTGATCTAGAAGTAAACTGTGGCAGTATACAAAGAAAAAAAGTAAACCCAACCATCATCAGATGAGTGAGACATAAGGAAATACATTAGTTTGCATGTAGTAATTAAGGTGAATGTTTATGTTAGGCTCCAGTGCACCTTCCCAGGAAACAATTAGAATTTGCATGTGGTTTTGTATGATCAACTAGCCCAGTAATTCTGTCTAGGAGTCACTATATGTAGACTAGTACTGGGTGCCCCTGTTTGCACCCCTGGTAGGTTAACTGTATTATGGTGGTAGCTAGAAAATGTATTGAAATAGGTAAAATTGTGTTTAGAGAAGGCAAGAACAAGGCTTTACTAGTCAATAGTATTTAATACTCACTCTGTTGTAGGGTAACAATCCTAAGGTTATAGAAGACTGGAAATGGAGGCAGGCCACTTTTCTGCAAGTTGATATAATCTTTAACATCAGAATTCTTTGCTCACAAGTTATTATAAGAGTCTTAAAAACTCAGTAAATTATTATTTATCAACCATCATGTTTTAAATTCATGTTATCTTCCTAGAACTTGCAAGTGCTATTAGTTTTCTAACTTACTGCCTCTTTAAAACATTCACTATGTGAAAGCTTGTATGCAATAGTATTAAATAATTAAAACTGGAGACAAGGTGGTTCTGTAAATTTGTTGTTCCTGTAGCAAATGTTTAACAAACTACCTTCACTTTTGTTGTTTAATGTATGCTTGAAACATGGTGCCACTCTATGAACAAATTAATCTGAAGATAAGCAGAAGTTTACTACAAGGAAATGTAAAATCTAAGTAAACACATTGTTCCAGAAGTAACTAACTTGATTGGAAAGCCATCTGAAGACAGTGCTACATAGGAAGGAAGAAACAATGTTTTGAAACTGGTTGTGCTTCTGTCATCTGATACAGCCATGTAAATAATAGGGCATTTGTCCTAAAGGGCAATAGTAAAAGGGCCCAATTTAAACATCCCAGGTAAAGATTTTTGGACTTTCAGTCTTTGAAAAACAAAACTGCAACAAAAATTAAACGCACACACAGCTCCATTGGCTTTCCAGATTTTCCGTCCTAGTCTAAATAAAATTTGTCAAAAGAAATTACATAGCCTTGTTTTAGGAATTAGGATGAAAAAGTTTGTGTTTAGTTAGGTGGGAGCTGAGCAGTCAGTATCCTTGACAATACTGCTAGTGATGTGTGGTGAAGATGTAACCTGTAGTTTCCTTCTGTCGTTCTTGTTTGTGTTGCTGTAGTACCATGGTGACCCATCTTTGGACCGATGTTTCTTGTGCCAGTCTAGATTCTGTCCTTCTCTAGGGAATTAAGAACAACCCAGCCCAAGACAACTTGGGAGCAGTTTCTTCTTATGACACTGTGCTTAGATAGCTGCATACTAATAGGAATTCCTGTTTACCACAATCTAAAAGCAATAACGTGTACTGTGATGTCTGTGTAATAGAGATGTTTACAATGGTAGCAAATAAAGAACGGGTTATTCCAAGATATTGTCAATGGTTGTGTCCTTGGCCTGCTAGAAAAGGTAACAATTTTGATTTTCATGTACCTGCACTGGGATATGAGTGAAAGATTTATCCTTTTTTCTTTCCCCCATCCTCCAGAATGGCCTCCAGCTTGTTTAGAGGGCTCTGGTTCTTGATCCTGTTATGCAGATGGGCTACTGTACTCTGCTACAAGTGGTAGGGGTTTATTACTGCTTCATTTCAGTTGCTTTTAAAATCCTCACTTGAAAAGAAGCTCTGTCTTAAGCTTTAAAAAAACCAAAAAACCAAACATGCACAAAAAAAATTCTACAACACAACCCCCCATCCAAACTCCCAATAAACCCCACAAGAATGATTTTATTTGAAAGATCTGGAAGTTAACTCTCAGAGGCAACTCAAAACGTGAGCGTTTTTGTTCAGGAGGACCAAAATTTAAAAGCTGAGAACTCTGGAGAAAGAAAGAGAAACCCTCAAGTGCTGATGGTTTATTCTTGTTTTTCAGATTCAGGATCTTCTGGCATGCCTTCATACAAGCTATATTAAATAATTTGCTTGGGTTTTTTTAAAGTTTATTTGTATCTCTCAGGCAGCCTTTGTTTCTCGTCCTGAATTCTGGAGAACAAGTGCTTCTATTAATGTTTGGAAGTGCCATTCCATGAGAACTGCAAGATCTCGCCTGAAGTAATTTTTTTATTTCTACAGAAGTACAGAATAGGTCCTGCCACTAAAGGAACATCCCAGTCCTCCAAACTCCAAATGTCAGGTTGATCAGTTATGCAAATGTGTTATTTTAGAAAATAGGACAAGCAAGCAGCTATTCAAGAAATTTAAACTGAGATCTTGAGTACCACAGGAAAGAGAAGAACCAGAGCTTAAATTGTCTTCTGAAGTGACATACTTTAAGGTATCTGCCACCATTTATTGGGAACATCTTGCACTGCTGCTAAGACTGACTAAGCTGTATTTCACAGCTTGTATCCCAGCTGTAAGCCACTCTTGCACAGCAATGCTGCTGCTATCAGCACATGTTGCAATTTTCTATTATTAACATTTTCCAGCATAACATTCACTGCCATATTTTTGTTACTATTTGCTGTCAGCCAATTTCTGGCTTTGCTGTTGAATAAATCAACATTTTAAATTGTGGCAGTTTTGGCTGGGATAGATTTAATTTTCTTGCCAGTGGCTGGTACGGGGCTGTTTTTTGGATTGATGCTGAACACAGGGTTGATAACAGAGATATTTTTGTTATTGCTGAGCAGGGCTTACACAGAGCCAAGACTTTTTCTGCTTTTTCTTTCCCTGTTAAACTGTCTTTATCTCAACCCATGAATTTTCAGGCTTTTACCCTTCCAATCCACTCCTTGATCACACTGGTGGGGGAGGGAGAGAGTTGGTACCTGGGGCTTGGTGGCTGCCTGGTGTTAAACTGTAATGTTAAAAGTCACAACTGCAGCTTGAAATACCTAACATTTGACTCAGGGCTATCTTCTAAGTTGAAAGAAACAGAAATAGCATAGAAGGAATGTTTTTGCAAGCAGAGGATAAAGCTCAGTAATAGATACAACTGGTTCACTTTCTGTCTCACCACAACACTCCTGCTCACCTAAACTGGTGAGGCCAGTCTTTTCCCCCAGCACCAGGAGCTGACACCAGGATTTGAAGGAACTCTGGAACCTCATACACTAACCAAGCAAAAGGCCAAGATACCATGGCTCACTCTGCCAAAGGCTAAGCTGTCCTATCAACTCATGCACAATTCCTCAGTATTTCCTCATTTCGAAATGTTTTACTCTAACCTCACTTAGTCCATGTTTCTTACCAAAATGGGTACAACACATGAACTGCTTTGTACTGTTAATACCTAATATATGATAAAAGGTCTCTTCTAGCTACAGCATTCCCTTTTTACTGGATTACACCTGACTTCTACTCTAACAAAAGCTCCAGCATCATTGTGTAAGAACTCATAAAGTGCTTTTCTCATGACAACAGTTTTGATGTAAGTTTTCCAGTAGGTTCAATATGTCACACAATGAGCTTCTTATCTGTGTAACACAACTCGTGTAACAAGTCTCAACCCTCAGCTCTAACACCTAGAACTCAGGAGCTGCAAGATGCTACAATGAAGGGAGTGCCACAGAACTTCCAGGTCTTAACAGCTTCTGACTAAGCTGAAAGACAGACTGGAAGAAAAGCCATATAGAAATATTCTTCTCAAGTTTGGTTTTTTTCAGTAGTCAAAGTTCTGTATAAAATAGCTCTAAAATAGCAGCCCCAACTGAATTCTACAATTCACAGACTAAAGACACTGTATCTCCAAGCACAAAAAGCACAAGACACAGGTGCTTCTAAGCCATACTCACTTTCTGTGTAGCACACCTCCACATACAGTAAGCCTTTAAAAATACTTACATTTCCCCAAAAGTTTCACACCATTGTATGCAGGTCAGTTGAATTCTTGTGTAGCTTTATATTCACCAGCTCCCACTGCTGTTCTACTAAAGAACAGAGCACAGCAGATCTTGTCATCAAAGAGGCAACTGCCAGGTGGTCCTGATCCCGTGAGCAGCCTCATCCAAACAAACCTGGAAAAGATCAGCTCACCTGGCTGCTACTTATAGCAATGCCATTCTTAAAGAGGACCTGGCTCACACCTGGGAGCTTTGCTGATGTGATCAGCAAGACAAGGAAGGCTACTAGAGCAAAACAAAAAAAAAGTTGCCTTGTAAAGTGGCTCATGTTACACCAGAGATCCACTGGTGGATGCCTCTTCTTGTTACAGGAACCCAAACAGCAAAGTAATTCTTGTCAACTGTTGCATCCCCTTCTGTGTGGGTGGGGTGGGAACAAAGCTGACAAGCCCTTCAGAGATAAATGTTTTGGAGTGTGTCCTGTGTGTCCCTAGGAGTGTGTGTAAGCTTGCTGATAGGCTTAAATTCACTTTAACATAATGGATACCTAAAAGAGAAATATTTCAGGGATCTGCAAACTTAAAAAGGTCGGTATTCCACTTAAGGATGTTAATTCTTAGTGCTGAAGACTTCCATGATGGCTTATTCAGCTGCCAGATATTATAATAAATCACCCCACTCTGACCTTGGCATCTGAAATTAAAACCAAGTATTTGATTATGGCTTCAAATTATTACCATTCTTTGATACACATATAAACCCATCCACAGTCACAACAGAAAGACTACAGTGCTTTTTCATACCATTACCAGTAGACATACTAACATTTGTCTCTGTAATAAAGCTCATTTTGCCTCTAGCATGACTTTAATAGTTAAAAATCAAATCTGTGCAGAGTGTACTTTATTTGTTCACATTACCTATTTGTGGTTAAAAACCACTTCATCTGACAGTTTAAAAGCATTCTTTTAAAAGAAAAGAATTAAACATAGCTTGTGCTAAAAAATTTTGCAAGTTACATGGATGCAGTATTATACAGGAGTATAAAAAAATCAACAGTATTCTACAGAAAATATTCTCAGAACAGCAAATAAAGATTAGGCTTGTAGGCATGATCCTGAAACAAAGAAATACGAATTTAAAAACAGCTAACAAAATTAAAAAAAAAATCCCAAATGTCTGTATAAAAAAAGCAAGGATTCAAAGTGCAGGTGCTCCAGTTTCCATTCTAACATATTATTCAGTAAGTCAATACAGGATACTATTCATTTCATATAAAGTGACAGTGTTCTCAGTAAGATTTAAACATTCAGTAACATTATCTTGCAGATTTTTTTTCATTACTGCTGCTTTACACTGTAGTAAATAAAGACTTATGCAATACAGGCTTTTATTTTCTTAATCTAACAAGGATATAATAGGTTGGTGGTAAAGGTTAGTTTTAAGAACTAAGCTATATTTGCTGTAGATCCAGCCTTAGAAATGGATATATATATATATATACTTCTTTTATCTAATTTTTTAAAAACAGACTTCAAATTTTGAAAAGAGACTCTACCAATCTGTTCTGGGACCTGCATACACTCTTTGAAGAAAACCAGCAAAGCTTCCAAGACCACTGGTTAGGAACACAGCCCTGGGCAGGGTCATGCTGGAGATCTTCCTTTGGTGGCCACAGCTGGGAAAGGATTTCCCTCTGCTGAACCCAGGGAAAGGCAAATGGGCAGAAACCATCACATTTATCCACATCTGCCTGATGTGGCAGCTAGGATGGGATGGGTTCTCACTTTCACTTAAGCATACCAGTCTCAGGCAGAGGAAGTTAGGAGCCAGGCAGGTGTCACTGAATTGGTCTTTCATATATTCAGAAAAGTAAAATCAAAGCATACGTTCAGAGCCTCTTTGGAAAAAAACCTATATGAAATAAAATTATGCCTCAAGGATGTTGCCTGGAACTTATTTTCACCTGAGGTCCTTTTCAGGTTGACAGTGTCCCTTTAAATTTTAGGTTTTTCCCATTTCGTTATTTTTTTTCCCCCAAGCATCAGATCTCTATATATCTATTTTAAAAATGCACATAAATATTGGCATTAAGTTTACATTTAGAAATTAAGAACTAATCTTTACCATTATACACTGACAGCAATATTAATAATACACACACTTCACTGACAAGCGTTATTTTTTTTTCTGTATTTAGAATAAAATCTGCATGTGTAACATTTCCCACAGAAAGAGTGATTATACTTGAAGATAGTTATGTTTGCACCCCAACATTTTCACATTAGTGAAAACAACTATGCTTTGAAAATACCAGGGCCTCTGCCAGGTACTAATAAATAGAGAATAAAAAGAAAAAAAAAAGAAATAAAAAACCCGATTGCCTTTTATCCCGACATAGTAGAGATTTCATAGTCACTGGCCGAGGTTATCGGTTTTCCCCTCATCCTGATGTTTTTAGCATTAGTAATCCGAGCCATCATGGACACAGGCTTGTCGAAGTACCTGACCAGCGCTGGCTCGGTGAGAAGGGAGGCTAAGAACTGTTCGAAGGTGATGGCCCAGTCCCTGTCAATGCTGGTGCT